CTTATTTAAAATTTGGACATTGGCATAGGATTGCCAACAGGGGCCCCAGACAAAGTTTTGGATTTTGCTTTGGTAGAAACTTTTTGATAACTCTTCATGGGTGAGCCCCACTCTTGCTTCCTATGACTTCCTGTGTCTACCCGGGGACAACCAGCGTATGATGCTGCTTGTGGCAGTTGACCAGGCCAAGGATATAAAAAACCCATTTCTCAAGAACTAGGACATGAATTCGGTTTATGTTTCTTGGGAGGAATTTCTCTTTGTGAGGAGGAGTGGGTTAGCCCATTTGGGAAGATTTTTAAAGCTGGAAGACGTTTTTAGTTGTTTTTTTCCTTCTATGTGAAATCTCTTCCAGGATTTGTAGGTGGAGCTGAATATTTGCAAATGAAGGTAACAGATGTGATTTATTTGACCTGCATAGAATTAAAAAAAAAAAGAGAAGAATTAGCTGCTAATTTTCAAACTCAGTAGATTTCCCACCCAAATCTAGATTTAAGTTTCTCCTGAAAAATATCTGGCAACATTCAAATAGGGAAAAAATTGATCAAGGACAAGTTAGAAGGGCAAGTGACCCCTAGTCCAGACAGTTCCCCCCCTACCTGTGTGATTGCTTAAGTTAGCTGTTTGGCCCTTGAAGGCATTTGGATTCACCATATCCACCCTACACTGAGCATCATTTACCCACCTCTACCTCTCCTGGCCGCATCTTCCCTCTTCCTGCCCTGGCACCCACCCACACATATATGTTTTTGCAGCATAGCCCATGAGCTCAGTGAAAACAAGAACTGGTCTTTGGAGAAAGAATAGGGCTTACCATGGGAAACCAATGATATTCAAAACCACAAACCATAATTCCAGAGATGTCAGTTCTGTTTCCTGTTTCTTTTGAGATGTGAATAATCTTAGTTTTGAAGCTAAAACTATAATTAGAACATTATAGTGGTAGTAGTATTATGGAATCATGTAAAAAGCAGTGGAGATGGCAAATAAAGATTGGAATGAAAAAGATGGAAAAAGATAAATCAGGCAAATTTTCATAAAACAAATGCAGCTGTATTAATTTATTAAAAAATAGACTTTAAGGCAGAAAAGCCTTACTAGACATAAAGACACCATGTTCAATCTCTTGAATAATATAACAATTTAAAATTTGATGCTCCAAATAATACAGTTTCAAAGTAAGTAAAGCAGAATTGCTAGAACTATGAAGAAAAGGAAACAACTGTGTGGCCATAGTGGGAGATTTTAACATATCTGTCTCAGTAAGTAATATAATTAGCTAACAACAA